ATAGATAGATAGATAGATAGATAGATAGATAGATAGATAGATAGATAGATAGATAGATAGATAGATGAAAGATGAAGCACTATTTTTCAACCTTGGCAACTTTAAGATGTGTGAACTAACTGCCAGAATTCTGGGGAGGGGAATTCTGGGAGTTGAAGTCCATGCATGCTGGCTGGGGAATTCTGGGAGTTGAAGTCCACATATCTTAAAGTTGTCAGGGTTGAGAAACACTGAGATGATAGATAGATTACAGAGATAGAGGCAGAGATAGATCAGACAATGGAAGGCAAGGTGATGCCATAAATCACTTTATTTTTCTCTCAGAAGTGGGGGGGGGTGTTGGTTCACACTTCAGCTTCAAGCAAGCGTCTTTGGGTAACATTCACGCTGGGTCCTAATGTTCAGCATTTGTTGAGGGGAGGGAAGAGAAATTCAGAAGGAAACAAGTAAAGGGTGGGCTTTGTGGGAAAAGGACGTGTGCATCAGGCTGGATGGATCACTGAGTAGGGTCGTTGTTTGATAAGCCGAACGTCAAGGGCTCCAATCTTGGCAATCTATATTAGTGCTGGTCTGAGAATTTCCCAGTTTTCACTTGGATGTTTTCACTTGCTTCCAGTTCTCCAGTTAGGTTGAAGAAATACTCCAGCATCCTGGGAATATGGTTAAAAAAACCCTTTCTTTGCAGAAAATGAGCACTTCTCAGAAATTGTAAAGCAGACTTTGAACCGGCTCACCTCTGTGTTGCGAGAGGGATGTGGACCGAAAGCTCCTTGAAATCAGTGCCCGGGTCGCTCTGGCTCGGCATGTCTGAGATTCATCTGCACAGTTCCTAACCCTCAGTGCTGCACTCCTGTTCTTTTATTAAAGGAGGAAAATGCTGCCCTCCTTTGCACAGCCCTGCCGAACTGACACCGAGGAGCTCCTCCGGGCTTCCAAGGTGGGCGCAAAGCAAAAGCCCTTTCAGCCGGGCCAGGCTTTTCCAATTTTGAAAGGAAACGTCCATTCGTGTCCTTTGCATCCTGTCCAAAAATGAAATTTTTACTGTTATGTGGCTGAGGTTGACACTTCTAAGTTATTGGCAGTTTAATACTTGGTCGCTGGGCCCATAATTAAAGTTCCGCCTGACAGGTTCCTCTGGCTTCTGTGTTTCCTTCCTTCCTTCCTTCCCTCCTTTCTTCCTTTTCGGTCCCCTGTTCCTGCTTTGCTGAAAGGTCACACCGAAAAGAAAAAGCTAATGATTAACTTCGCCATTCAGAGCTGTGAGCCTTGCACAGGGGCTACAAATCAGCGCGGGACTGGGAATCTATTTGGAAGGTTTAATTTGAGGCCGTCTCCTTCAAGATAGACCAGTGGTCTCATTTCTGGGGAGCGTTTAGAGGCGGCCTGACATCCAGGGAAAGGTTTTTCGGCCCAGGGGTTTCAATTTCAAGCAGGTAAGGGCCAAGGAGAGATTCCAGCTCTGCATTTTCCCCTGGGCGTCATTGGAAAAAAGGGAATTTTGCTTCTGGAATGGTTTCCTCCCTCCCCCCAAAGGAAAGGACCCTTGCAATGAAATTCTCCTGGGGAGACGGTGGCATGCTTGCAGACAGTTGGCGTTGAGGTCACCACAAAGGGGAGGGGGGGAGAGAACAGCAGAATTTTTTAATTTGCAAGATGTTCTGCCTTCTTGCTTCTCCCCCTTCCATTCAAGCCCCTCAGAAAATCTCAGGAGGGAAACGACTCCTAAGGGGCTTGTAGGCTAAGGGCGAATCCTGCCCTTGAAAACTTCTTGGAGAATGTATTTTTATCTTTGGAGAATTTCAGAGAAGTTGGCTACCCACAAAGGGAGTGGGAAATGCCTTGGTTCCTGGATTTTTACGCTGTGCATTGCTTAATTTTAATGGCTTTAATTAGTTAAATATTGCTAGTAAGCTTTATTCAGTATAGTTCATGTATTCCTTGTATCAGTGTTTCTCAATTTTAGGAACTTTAAGATGAGTGGACTTCAACTCCCAGAATTCCCCAGCCAGCCATGCTGGCTAGGGAATTCTGGGAGTTGAAGTCCACTCATCTTAAAGTTGCCAAGGTTAAACACTGCCTTGTATTGTAAGGTCACCACCTGCCTGATATTCTACTATTCCCCTAGAGTTGCCTAGGCTTTTTAATATGCCTACATTTGTATTTTCACAACATAATAATCATCATCAATATTTCAAGCAACCTTTTTGCTCAGCTCTTCCTCAACTAGCTGCATCTTTTTTCCCCCTCCAACCAGGTGGCAAATGAGAAATTTTATTTTATGGGTGGATGGATTTAGCAAATTTATATAGCCACTCATCTCACAGAACGTGACTCCGGGCGGCTTACCAACATAGTAACAACGAAAACCGCATTGAGTAAATAAATAAATTTAATTTGTTTCAAATTAAATTTAAGGCCTTGGCAAATCTCCTTGGGCATAGGGGTCCCCACTTCTGCAACAGCCCCTCGTTACACGCTGCCTTCCTATTTTTTCCCACTGGCAGATTGCATTTTGGCGTTTTGCCCTCACCATTACAACACAGCCCCTTCCATCGTGGCTGC